GTGTGTGCGTGTGTGTGTGTTCAAAGAGTAAGTTTCATTTCCTAGTAAGCGCGTCATTAGTCACTGGGTGTGGTATGGAAAAAACGGGTTGGCTGTTACAGAGGAGACCTTACTTCTCTTCACACCAGCTGACGGTGCGCTCGCCCTCTACACAGTACAGACCATTAATTTAGGTTTTTGATTTACATCTGATCATGCAGAAAACAAGAAACAGCCGTGGAATTCCTGAAGATTATTTAATAAGAGAGCATGCAAAGCTGAGTCATTTAAAAGAAGTAGCTCAACGTACTTATTTATACTCTAAATACCTCTACAAAGAAAACATCCCTGATTACCCTCAACCTGAGTTTCATGTGGCTCAACTGAAACATGACACACAACGACGGGCACTACTTCGGATCTGGAAGGACGAAGGCTTCAAGGATCCTCGTGGAGGTTCCTCTGATCCTCAAAAACACTCCCTGGTGTGGTGGAGTCTGGCTGTGGGAACTGAGGAGATCCAGGAGGCTGAGGCGAGGCTCCTGAAGAGGACCTACCCAGACTGGACGGAGGAGCAGACAGCGAAGCAGAAGAGCTTCCTGTGGAAGTTTGCCACCTCTCCAGCCTTCAGTGAGAAGTCCATCTTTGGATCATACCGCTTCACCTTCACAGTGCAGGAGGTGCTGGAGGCCTACTGCAAGCAGGTACTGACTGCATACTTTTAGAGTAATGTGTGTAGAGGGTGGGAGGGTTTCTTACAATTCATTTATCCATCATCTCAGACTGAAAGTAACATCAGGCTGAGAGAGTAAATGACCACAGAGACAAAGAAGAACATCCTGTGGCCACGAGCAGGATCTGCCGTGTGTGTGTCAGTACACCAGTGTAACAGGTGTGTCTCTATTATTGTTGTTGCCAGTTTTGCTCCGGAGCTCCGCCCATCATGAGGGTGTACAAAACCTCCCTGTACAAACAGGAAGTGGTACATGTTGTCCTGGTCCACAGCCCAGCCAATCAGGAGCTCTTCTCAGAGTATCCTTTGCTCCCTCATAATGACCCGAACGCTGTCTGCACTTACAAAGATGGATGCTTCATCTGGAGACCGGAGGCCATGTGCGAGACACACAGGTAAGAATCACACAGGTAAAAATGTTAACCAAAGGTCACTGAAGGGCTGTTGGTTGAAATGTACTGAAAAAGCAACTAAATCAGTTTCACTCTCTCCAATGATTGGCTCCTTTGCTTCACGCTGGCTGTGAGCATCAGTGTGATGGACCTGTCACACTGCAGCAGGCTGAAGTCCTCTTTCAGCTGATTGGTTAAAATGCTGTGTGTGTCTCTGACCTTCCTCTCAGCTATGAGTTGATCCGAAAACCTGACGAAAACCAGATGTACACTCGGAGTCTCGGGTCTGATTATCAGTTTTATGTTTGGGATAATGTCGCCATCGCCCTGTACGTGGAGCGCGGACAGGTACTGTCACCTCCTCCTCACTCTGTACAGCAGATGTCTTTGTGTGCTAAAGTGTAGTGTGTATTTCTGAGCGTTTTGTTCATAACAAAGTTTTGTAGTTTCTCCTCATAAACGTCGCTCGTCTTCTCTGCTCTCTGTCAGGTGCTGAACTTTGACTGTGACCTTCTGAAAGAGAACCTCACGTTCTGCAGAAAAACTGATGGGAATGTCCCATTTGAAATCCAATTTGATGACTTTAAAGCTGCTAAAGCCTTGGTGGAAGATTTGTGGCCTGACCCATGGTTCCAGCTGAAGGAGGAGCTTTCACTCAAGCAGGATTTCAAAGGTAATAAATCAATACATCTCTTATTTGTGAGCCTGCGCTGGCCCGTCTGACCACCTCTCTGTTTCTCTTCAACAGAAGAACCAAAGGAGGAACCAATGGAGGATGAGGACTCCCAGCAGTGAGACGACTCCTGTGGTTTACTTTTATGAAAACCAAATACGAAGCTTCATATTCGCGTGCTCTCAGCCTGCAGCTCTGAATCTGATGTGCCCCCATGCTGTTAGCGAGGGGGGCAGGGTTTAAATGCACGCTGTCTGTGTTAATATGGAAGATGGAGAATAAAGTTGTTTTGAATCTGAATGAATCTGTGTGTCTGTGTGTAACACCAGCTGCATCCACTGACCGTGTAATCGTGGTGTTATAGTGGTACACATGGTTGTAGAGTCAGGAGCACAGCGTTTGACTTTCCTCTGAAACACACGTTCACCATCGATCAGGATTGTTGATTTATTGAGAAAAGTTACTAAAAGTTTACAGAGCTGGGCCCTATTTCAGGAAGCCGGTTTAGAAAACTCAGAGTGAAAAACGATACTCAGGGTTGAGTAACCCCGAACTGTCCAACTCGGAATATTCGGTTTCAGAAAGGCTGATAACAATTAGTTCAGTCAACGCGGAGTTGCTTTAACCCCAAGTTAAGTGCGCGCACGAGGATACATAAAGCCCTGATTAGTGGAGCACAGATTAAGCGAGTCACCATGGAGACGGAGGGAAAGAAGGCGCGGTCAATGTATTTTACAGCGCTTGAGGCCGAAATGCTGATGGCAGCATATGCCGATAACATGCAAATTTTGCGGAAAAAAAGTAACACAGCCTCAGCTGCAAAAGAAAGAGAGCATGCATGGCAAAACATAGCCGACAGAGTCAATGCGTGAGTGTTAATATAAACATTGATCTAGGGATTTCCACCCATATAACACATGGCCCCCAACGTTCCTGGCAGCAAGTAGAAATGAAATATAAAAATATAGTCCAAACAGGTAAGGTGTAATTGTATTATGAGCCATAGTGCTTGGTCTGTTTGTCCCATGTCAATCGATTGCAGTTAGAGGCTACATTAATTTCCTTTCTGTAAGCACTTATTGAAATTATCTGAGCACATTACAAGTACATATTTGCTTACTCTGTATGCTCAAATGTGACCCGTTATAGCCAACAGAAAAAAAGCGGAGGCCCGAAAAACAGGTGGGGGTCCTCCACCACCACCACTCACAGAGGCTGAGCAGTTGGCTTCCACATTTGTGATAATGTTGGCAGCATCACATATGATCTTCACAGTGCAGAGAACACAAATTAGCATCCATTACTATAATGGAATTATTTGTTAGTTTGAAATGCTACAGGGAACTATGTACCTGTACATTAATGCTGTGGAAAGACTTCCTGTTCACATAGTCTCCTTCATTTACTGAAGGAGCAATGATTGGAATGTGAGTGCCATCTATACAGCCAATCACGCCTGGGAACCGTGACTGCCCGACAGACGGTAGCTGCCCGACAGACGGTAGCCTTGGAAACGTGCTCAGCGTCACCAATATTATACAGAAAGCTCCTGTTTGCAAAAAACCGAAGTGCAATACAAATAATATGTACAGAACTGAGAGGATGTCCGCGATGTGTCACATGAGCAATATTAGGCCTGAGGATGTTATTCAAATATATTATAGATTGTGCTGAAAAACGTAACGTTCACACAGGAAATCATCAGGAAATGATAAAATGTCCAAACGCGCTCTAATCACTGTCTCCCGGCGGAGAGCTCTGCGGAGAATTTGGACTTCAACATCTACTGGCTCTTCAAGGAAGGGACACGCCATGTCTGACACTTCCTACAGTCAGGTTTCCGACAAAGGGGCGGAGACAATCAGGGTTAGTTGAAGTAAACCTGCTAGGGGGCAGGTTAGCTTCACGGAGTGGCAGGTTAGCTTCACGGAGTGTGTCGTCATAGTAACTCACTCAGAATTAATCTAAACTCGCTTTGTGAAACCGAAAACCCAGAGTTTTCGTTAACTCAGGGTATACTTACTCAGAGTTTGCACTAAACCGGCTTCCTGAAATAGGGCCCTGAAAATGATTGGATGAGTTTTTTAATCTGAAACTAAAAGTCTCTGATTTTCAGTTTGTGAAGAAAAAGAAAAGAAGAATACAGAAACATTTGGCTTGTATAAAGAAGCCTCTGTGTGACCGTGACGTCTCCACGAGCCAGCAGAGTGTGTGCGTGTGGGGTGTGTGTGTGTGTGGGGGGGGGCATGCATCAAGGGGGCGCTTCACACAGGCTTGTTTACATGCCTCGTGGTGAATCGTCACATGACAGCATGTTTCCATCGGCTGTTATCGTCCTGTTTACAGACTATAAAGAGTTCATATCGCAGGCGTGTTTGGTCACGCCCACAGGCGGAGCTGACACAGTAAGTTTCCTTTCTTAATAAATCCATTATTCTAGGTGGGGTCTGAATAAAGTCTGAGCTGTCAGAGAGGAGAAATCACTAATGCTGAGAGTGAACTCAACGTCTGACAAGGACAATTTTCTTTTTTCTTCATTGTTGAACTAAATCGTCCTCTGTCTGATCATGCAGACACAAATAGAATATGAAGTAAAAATTATAAAAAGTAAGCATTTGAGGCTGAATGACCTGAAACAGGAAGCCCAGGATTCCTATTTGTACAAGAAATATCTGCACAAAGAAGACATCCCTGCATATCCCCGACCGGCGCTTCATGTGTCTTGTCTGAAACACGACACAAACCGACAGGGTTTATGCGGGATCAGGGCTGACGAAGGCTTCAAGGCTCCTCAAAAACTCTCCCTGGTGTGGTGGAGTCTGGCCGTGAGGCCCGAGGAGATCCAGTCGGCTGAGACGAGGCTCCTGGATGAAACCTACCCAAAGCGGACGGAGGAGCAGGCCGCGAAGCAGGAGGACTTCCTGTGGAGGTTCGCCTCCTCTCCAGCCTTCAGTGAGAAGTCCAGGTATGGCTCATACCGCTTCACCTTCCCCGTGGAGGAGGTGCTGACCGCCTACAGCGAGCAGGTAATGACTAACACTTAATGTTTACAACTATCCTTTGACGCACCGCTCATCTAAAACAGCAATAATGATAATTATTAGGTTATCTACATTATTATGTAAATAACAAAATAACTTATAGCACAAAAATAGGGAAACGTAGTCCGAAGTCTTTATTATTAAGGGCCATCAGTCAAACAATATTGTTTGCTCTGGGTTTAAACAGCGCGTTGTGTGTGACATCTTCTTTTGCGCATGCGGGCCGCTTTGAGCGTTCACACTGAGCGCGTTTGCAGTCGCATTTTATTTGTAGTGTGAACACGCAGACAAAAAAATCGGATTTGATCAAAAAATCGGAATTGAGCATTAACACCTGCAGTGTGAACGTAGCCTAATGTAGTATACCACCACAGCCACCTAAACCAACCCAGAGCTCTATGAGACAGTTTGCAGAAGTCTGTGACCCAGCAAGACAGAACTCAGCTGATAAAGACATGGCAAACATGACTGCACTTGATTTCCAATTATTTTCAGTTGCGGACGATAAAGGATTCAGAAAGTTTATTCATGCACTGATGTAATTCCAAACAGGAAAACACTCCCAAAAAATCATCCAGGCCTATATGACAGAGAATGCGCATCTTCTTTTTGTTTTGCATATTTTAATTTATATTTTATTGTGTTGTGGTTTGCAATGTTTGGTTTTGTTTCAATTAAAATTTGTTTAAAAGGAAAAAGCTGAAAATTTAAATCGTTAAATGTTGAAATGTAAATAGTTGGTTTGTGATTTTATAATTAATTTTTTACATTTTATGTGGAGTGAATAAATAAAAGCACATCAGTAATTCATTTTGTCCATAATTTTATATTGTTGTTTATAAAAAAATTAATTAAAGCAATAAAACGGGGTGATGCTTTCACTTTTTCATGTCCAGTTTTGCTCCGGAGATCCGCCCATCATGAGGGTGTTTGAGACAAAGCTGTTCAAACAGGAAGTGGAGTACGCTGTGCTGGTCCACAGCCCAGCCAATCAGGAGCTCTTCTCAGAGTATCCTTTGTTTTTGTATGATGACCCGAACGCAGTCTGCACTTACAGAGACGGACGTTTCGTCTGGAGACCAGAGGCCATGTGTGAGACACACAGGTAAGAATCACACAGGTAAAAATGTTAATGGACTCTCATGAAGTATGTTCACAGCTGTCCACCTCAGAATCAGCTGACCTTAACCAGTAATGGGGACAGGCCATACATTTGATTTTTGTTGTTATTGTTTTATTTTGTCAGCATTTTTGGTCTCAAACTTCATAAGTCCAGCAGATGTCCACATGAAGATTTCACAGCTGAAAAACATATTTAAATCTAACCAGCTGTGAGCATCAGTACGATGACACATCACTGTCTGAATAATCCTCAGTAGTTTATTGTCTGTGACGTAGAGGAGCAGAGCTCGGCGTCTGATGTGTGATGTCATAAAGTGCATCCTGGGTAAACCTTGAGGCTCAACATGTGGAATATGATCAGGAAAGGTTGAAGCAGTGTGAGCTGGGCCCCCTGGTGCCCCGCAGTAATAACAGAAAATAGTTTGAAGTGACTCACAAGTATGTACAGTTTATTTATTTAAATAAAAGCTGAATTCAAACTGGTACCAGGTGATTCATTTGTCATTATCTGGCCTAAATTCACTGCTTGATTAGAGCAAAGATTTGATGTTTAAAGCAGTGTGGGATTTTGTGGACGGATATCTCTATGCAATAGTAATATAACCCCACCTTTCGCCGTATGACAGCTGGGATAGGCTCCAGCGACCCTGATGAGGATAAGTGGACAGAGCATGGGTGGATATGTAATGCAGTATTAAAAACTAATGATAAAACTAATAACCTCTTAAAACATTCATTTAAATACTTGTTTTGACAAATTAGAAAAATCTGATGAAAATGAACGACTTCATTAACAAATTGTTAATTTTCCGTGACTGCTGTTGTTGCTCGTGACGGTTTTAGTGTTGCAGGCTTTAATAAACTGAATGACTGTCTCTCTCTGACCTTCCTCTCAGTTATGCGTTGATCCAAAGACCTGATGAAAACCAGATGACCGCTCGGCCCTTGAGTAGGCGGCCTCCATTTTATGTTTGGGATCATGTCGCACTTGCTCTGCATGTGGAAAACGGACAGGTACCCTCCTCCTCTTCCTCACTCTTCAGAGACACCTGAAACATTTTAGAAGAGGAACTGAGTTTTATTTTGCTTGTTTCATATCCTATAACTGCTGTCAGCTCCCCACTGAGATGCATTATCACCCCATCAAGAGAATCTGAAGCTTGTCTGCACTCTAAAAACTATTGTTTAAGCTCAACAAAAAAAATTAATGCAAGAGTTTCCATTACTCTTTTTGAGTTACGATAACTTATGCTGAAATTAGATTGAACCAACAAACTATATTGAGTTAGGGGAATTAACTTTTCCTCCATAATCAAAGGTGATTTTAATTACCATTTA